ATCTATCTATATAGATCTATCTATCCATCTATCTATATAGATCTATCTATCCATCTATCTATATAGATCTATCTATCCATCTATCTATATAGATCTATCTATCTATATAGATCTATCTATCTATATAGATCTATCTATCTATATAGATCTATCTATCTATATAGATCTATCTATCTATCTATATAGATCTATCTATCTATCTATATAGATCTATCTATCTATCTATATAGATCTATCTATCTATCTATCTATATAGATCTATCTATCTATCTATATAGATCTATCTATCTATATAGATCTATCTATCTATCTATCTATCTATATCTATCTATATCTATCTATATAGATCTATCTATATAGATCTATCTATATAGATCTATCTATCTATCTATCTATATAGATCTATCTATCTATCTATATAGATCTATCTATATATATGGGTGGAACGTTGCTGCACCATCTACTCCACTTAGCACCTGCTAAGGTCTGAAGTAGCTCACCCCAACATGCCTTGGGGCTCTGTCACATGACAAGGAGCCATGCAGTGCCTGAGTGATGGAGCCACACAGGCACAGAGGTGTGAGTGTAGGAGGAGGTAGAAGTATTGGGATTTCTATGGCTCACCTCTCTCTGAAAACATAAGTCGCTGGCTATCATTGTTTCTTTAGATGAAATCCTTTCCAAAATACAAATGGTGAATAAACATGCAACAAGTTAAGTCAGAACTCCTGATCTGCATACTAGTTCCATGTGAGTGACTCGCAAAGTACTGAAGATATTGGATCAACGTGACAGCCAGACCACCAGCATTGTCAGAAGTAGAGTTTGACAATGGCAGCCTATGTATTGCTCTCAGCACATGTTCTCTTTAATAATGCAGAGGTGTTCAGTGACCCCGAGCAAGCACATATCACTCTTTATATGCCATTGTTTTGCTCCTTCATTGTACTTGGACCTCACAGGATGATGTTCTTCTAGCTCAGCTCAGTAATGAATATTATGGTAACAAAGGCCTTATCCTTGTATGTAAGAAATCCTAACAGGATGTTCGCTTCCATTCTTCAACCACAGCTTAGTTTTCTTGTTCTTCTCTCCAGATTTGACAAATGTCAGATAAGTAAACACAAGTCTCTCCTGCTGTGCGTCTTTCAGCGTTCATAGGCCGCTTGTTCCACCACACTCATTCAATGAGCGATGTGTCAGACGGGTCCATCAGAGATCCTACTTGTGCAATATACTGTATATTTATACATTGTGTCCCTGAATAGTACACAGACCTGATGTAATGTGCGGCCAACTGACTTCTAGTAACAGCCTCATCCTCAGGGTTCATTCACACTCATGCATTCAAGCACTATAGAATGTCCATTGAAGGCACAGTCCATGTTTTTGTGGCCATGTTTTATGTTGCATCCTTATTAAGGGTGTATCATGAAACAGGGTCTCATTCCTCAACCTCCTGCCCCAAATACCTGAATCGCAGGGTGCTTCTCCTTGCAGTGTCCTGTTGTATAAATTTACTGTGGCTGCACATGGCTCCACCTGCATCATCCATTCACAAGGTTCTATGAATAATGGGAAGACTACAAGTCCCATCTGCCACAACAGCACAGAGACTTAAGGTGGCCATACACTCTACAACCATCGCAAGACTTTAGTCTTGCGATGGTTGTAAAGGGATTAAAAAAACGTACGATCTGCCTATCTTGGACAGGCAGATCGCACTCTCGATCATCGCAAGCCCGCGCCCCTGACGGGCGGGCTTCGGATGACCGCAATGCTGAACGGGCAGTGTGCGCGTGCGCACACCGGCCCGTTCAGCATTTATCTTCCGAGCACCGTTCTAACCAGCCGAGAATCGTACGATTCCCGGCTGGTTTTCGAACATGCTGGTTCGACAGAAGACGTGCGACCGTACAGTAGAAACGGTCGCACGTCTCCGTTCACACTGCTCGATTATCGTCCGAAAAACCGATCGCATACGATTATCGTACGATAGTTAATCGTCCAGTGTATGGGCACCTTTACAGATTGTACCAACACAAGTGTGATGATGTCACCACAATTGTAGTCCATTGTTTACATCCTCCCCCCCGTAACTGAAGGTGAGTACCTCCATAACGCCCTAAGGGTGGGATGCAGGAGCCTATGCATTGCAGACAAACATGTAATGAATGCACATTTTTAAAATTATCAATGACATTTTTGCTAAAGGTGGACTATGCCTTTAAGATGTCATTCATTAAGAATGACACCACATATCACTCCTCAATACACACGGCAAGTGTTGTGGTGAGATGCAATGCCGAAAATGCTGCAGGTGTGTTTTTGTCATGTATTAAAGTGTGCTGCCAGCTGATTAAACATGAATGGGCTGCCTTACACACACGGAAAGCATTGGCTTAACACTGCGCATAGTGTGAATGGGCCCTTACTATGAGATCACCTACAGTGACATCTGGTCACCCAATACCCAGATTTGCCCCATTACTACCAATCTCTATTCTGTGAATGGCCAAGACAGAAGATTAGCAAGCTTGTGTAGACCTGTCCTCTTCAGACACTGGCCCTCTGATGATGGATAATACAGACACATTGTGTATATATGCGTGTGTATATATATATATATATTATAGATAGATATATCTATGTATATTATGGTTATATACAGAAGATTGTGTAGACCAGTCCTCTTCAGATACTGGCCCTCCGATGGATACAATACAGATACATTGTATTTATGATGATGTGTACGATTACATTCAGATACATTGTATATATAATGTGTATGGTTGCATACAGAAGATTGTGTACACTGGTCCTCTTCAGACACTGGCCCTCCAATGGATGCATTGTTAATAGGATGATGTGTATGATTACATACAGATACAATGTATAGATGATGATGTGTACAATTACATACAGAAACAACGTATGTGTATATATGTGTAGTATTACATACAGATGCATTGTATAGGATGTGTAAGGTTACATACAGATGCATTGTGTGTGTATGTATAATGATGATGTGTACGGTGACATACAGATACATTGTACATACAGTAGGGAAGGACGTCTGCTCACCTGTAGCATGGTGACCACATGACACGGGTTCAACAGGTAAATGACAGTCCTGGTGGCGAATTTAAAGCCGACCTCCACCCCGAAGGTCAGGCACAGCGCCACCAACAACAGGTTCTTCCCCAGGCTGTCCGGCCGGCCACTGACAGCAGCCAGCTCCCCTTCCCCGTGCTTGTGGCAGACGATCCTGCCGAGTGACAGCCCGATCTCCCCCGCAGACACGACCAGCAGCACCAGGCTCTCCACAAGTCGCTGTGTGGGCGGTAAGAAGGACGCACACTCGGGCCCCCCATTACCAGCCAGCATGGGGTCCACTCCTCCATATAACCAGTCCGAGTAGCGGGACATGCTGCCCTCGGTCAGCACACCCAGCACGGCTCCGCCGCCTTCCTGTTGAAACATCAACTGCACGGCCCGTGTACCTCCGACAAGCAGGGAGGTAGCGGGAGGGGGCGGCGTCACAGTGCAGGCAACGAGGCAGCCCCGGCATCTCTTTAGATGTGCGTGTTCTTTCTTCCTGACCGCCACTATGTGGCGCTGTACATAGCGGTTTATTCTCCCTCCATCAATACGGTTACTATACATTAATACATTGTTCGTGTGGATTTAAAGTGACAGTAACCTAAGGAGTTAAATCTTAAAAATACATTCAAGTACCTTAAATATTTACAAAAATGCATCTCATTTGTGAATCACTCAGCTGTAGATCCCCAAACCATTTCTGAATTTGTGACATAGTCCTTCCTTCTGGAGGGTGGCTATGTTTGTTCCCCATGGTCCCTGTGTGTGTTGTAAAGTAGCCACCACTCCAAGCTCCCTCCCATGATGGACTACAATCTCACGTATAGTTTACTAATTTGTATTGAGATTGTGGACCATCACAGGTGTGAGCTTAGAGCTGTGGCTACTTTACACACACAGGGACCTTGGGCAACAAAAGTAGTGCATTCAACAGTAAAATACCTCTGTTTTTAACCTTAGTGTGAGACAAGTTTTTTTACATGCTAGTTTGTGAGTGTGCCAGGAAAACTTTTTGCTATATTACTGTTTAAAGCCCATTCCGTGTGCACCTTACTGTAAAGCTGGTGACGAACTGATGAGTGCGTTTGTCATCTGTTTTGCTTGACTGTTTTGGTGCAGTGAAGCATGGGGGGTCTCAGCTGCCATTGGGATGTGCGGGATCCCTTGTGCGTCTCTGTGCCTTTAAGGGGGTTGGGCTTCCTCCTAACAAACCTGCACCCAATGTTATCTTATGCCCCATGTGCTCCAAGATGGAGGCTCTGATAGTTTAGAGTTAGGACCGCACTTTAAGAGGTGCCTTGGCGCGGCTGTGCAGCTTTCACATTTTCTGCAGAAGACGTGTATCCAAAGCTCTGTTTTTAACCTTAGTGTGAGACAAGTTTTTTTACATGCTAACTTGTGAGTGTGCCAGGAAAACTTTTTGCTATTTTACCATTGGAGGGGTGACACCTAAATCACTGACAGGCCTTTTGGTGTTAAGAGGAGGGGACCTGGCGGCACTCCTCATCCCGCCAGGTGAACATCCCCTCCTCTCTCTGATAGTGTCCATCACCAAGTATCACTAACATGGCCGCGCATGCGCGAGACGTCATCGTGCACGCCCGTGATGATATTACTCGCATGTGCAATGACATCAGGGCGGGGTGTCACTCGGTACCCACTCCGGGTGACAGCCGGCCTCGGGACACCACTGGGTGTGACAGTGTGCAGTAGAGGAGTGTAGAGGGTATGACATTGTGCAGTATGCTCAGGAGAGGGCTGCAGAGGGTATGACAGTGTGCAGTATATGCAGGTGAGGAGTGTAGAGGGTATGACAGTGTGCAGTATGCGCAGGAGAGGAGTGCAGAGGATATGACAGTGTGCAATATGTGAGGAGAGGAGTGCAGAGAGTATGATTGGGAGTGGGGGAAGTATGTACAGGAGAGGGGTGCAGACGGTATGATTGGGGAGTATGTACAGGAGAGGAGTGCAGAGGATATGGAGAGGCGTAACTAGAAATCACAGGGCCCCATAGCAAAATGTTGGGCCCGGTCTCCTCCTCCACCTCCCCCGGGCCTCGCCTCCTCCACCTCCATTGCTGCCAGGCCTGGCCTCCTCCTCCACCGCCGGGTCCCCAGCCTCCTCCACCGCAGCTGCTGGCTATAAGAAGGAATACGCCACTGTACAAATCACTGACAGGTTGTCAGTAATCTGGACAGCTGGGCGTTCCTCCTCCAGTGACAGTCCTGCAGCCTGCGATGTCATAGCGACCCAGGCGGCCTGAACGGCATCAGGGGGACCCCTTTGTTTGTGGTCCTGGCTGGGCCCCCTTGTGCCCTGGGCCCAATAGCAGCCGCCTGGGTCTCTATGGCGATAGTTCGGCCACTGTTGTTCTGGCCCCTTGACATACATTGGCCACACATTTAGAATTCAATGGAATATGTTGGAACTCTTACCTTTGGATGTGGTGCTCCATCCTTATCTCTCTGACCAGGATTTACATAACTGTGTTATCTCACAATCTTAGTCCAGAAATTAGATGTTGAACAGATTTTCTCAGCAGTCACTGTTCAGCCAACATTCTTTTCAACCGGTTCCTTCGGCAAAAGTCAATTAAATACATGAACAATACATGATTATTAATGAAAAATGCATTAAGGAAAATATTTGACTGAATCATATACTTCAACTGGATCCTAATGTGTGTGTCTAGATTAGACATATGGGATTCGTCCATAATTTCCGAATGACAGAAATAATAAATCCGAACAAACCCCAATGTTTGATAACGAAATTCTGATACATCGCAATTTCATTCGGAACGAAACAAAGAAGCAGGAGAGCTGTCATTTACCGCACTCTGGCTTCTCTGACTTGTATCCTGAATGAAAACAAAGTAACAGAATATTGTTACAAAATGTAAACAAAGAGAGAAGGTGAAAGATCTGTGTTTTCATTCAGGATATGAGTAATAGCTTCTGCTTCTTTCCTGGCAAAGAATCTGACATCTGTCACAGAATACACACGTCAACATGTCCACAGAAATAATAATAAAGAAAAACAGCGTGCAGTTGCCCCAACAATTCATACCAGACCCTTTAGTTGTCTCTCAGGTCCGCTCCTCTGCTGATTGACAGAAGGCAAGGGGCGGAGCAATAGCCAGCCTGCTATTGGCTAATGCAATTTAAAATAGCCAATAGCAGAATGGCAATTGCTCCTGCAGAGGAGCAGACCTGAAAAAGAAAGTTCTCTCTCAGGTCCGCTCCTCTGAGATTGACATCAAGCAGTGTGCAGGGGAATTAGCCAGCCTGCTATTGGCTATTTTAATTGGAAATAGCCAATAGCAGGCTTTGTTTATTTCTGCCCACTGCCCGATGTAAACCCTGGATCAGGCAACCAGAGGTGGGTGATTTTTTTTTCATCGTTCGGCGGTGATCGGGGGATTGACTTAGTGGGAAATTTAATTTTTTTTGTAAATAAACGAATTGTCAAAAACCTGTGTTGTGTTTTTTGTTCAATTAAATCATTTTTTTCTAAGGTGTTGTGTGTTTTTTTAACATTTTATTTAACTCGTTAGTGAATGAGTAAGGGTACAAATACCCCTTACTCATTCACATGGGGGGTGGCATCTGGGTACCCCCTTTATTAAAGGGGTTATGCAAATGAGCCCCCTGCACGCAGACCTCCCCAACCACTCAGCCAAGGTTGTAGGGAAGAGGCCCTTGTCCCCAAAGCACCCTCCCAGTGCCGAGGGCATGTGGCCTGGTATGGTGGGGGAAGTGGGGGACATCCCCCCTTTCCTGCCTGGATAAAGGGTCCTGGTATGGGATGTTAGAGGGGAACCCAAGTTTTTTTTTTTGGCGTTGGGGTCCCCTGTAAAATTTATACCAGACCTAAAGGGTCTGGTATGAATTGCCAGGGAGACCGCATGCTGTTTTTTCTTTTTTTACATCAGGGGTCCCCCCTAACATTCCTACCAGACCTAAAGGGTCTGGCATGAATTTTTGGGGGAACCGCACGCTGTTTTTTTTTTATTGTTCCTGTGGAGTGTCAAAAGTTAAAAAGAAACAAAGTAAACCTGTAATTTCAGTTTTCTGCAACCAATTTTCGTTCGTAAGGATCATTGAATCAAAATGCTGAAACGAATTGACTTTCAGACCCGTATCCCGAAAAACAAAATAACGAAACATAGGAAACTAAACAAATTTTTTACCTGCTTTCATGTCTAGTCTAGATTGAAGACGCATTAACGTCATCAAGGCTTGAAGTCTGCACACCACCATCAGTAGATCCTCTTTTCAAGAGGCGATCCTCTTCTTAGGAGAGCATTAAAACACACAAGGGGACATTTATCAATACTATCCTAATGATTGTGATTGTTAATCTGTCTCATCCTATAATTGATATCACTAATTAGAGACAGATTTATTATCTGTATACAAGCTGCATAATAAATTAGACGCAATAAGCATATGTGTTCCTGTTTACAGAGCTTCCTTGGTGTTTCTTAGTTCTCTGGCAGACGTGAGGTTAAATTAACTCATATAGGAGCTGTTTGCAGTTGTGACAGAACAGAGAAAACAGGCCAACCGACTTTCTTTGGTTGCACATTTGGTCATGTAAAACTACATCACTTGTTGTGGTCGCAAAACAAACGTAAAGATTCATGCTAACGTTTTTTTTCACGCAGACTGCAGATAATTAACATGCAGCTGCTTGAATAAATTTCCTTTACAGAGATTGTTTTCTGATTTTATGCATAAATGTATGAACAATCACACAATTTGAAGATGAATATAACACAAATTATATAAAATAAGCCTTCAAGCTACATGGTTAATGATTGATTTTTTTGATCTGACAGATGAAATCTAAAACAAAATCTGACTGTGTGCAATTCCTCTGTGAGCAGCCCACCTTCCTCCCCATACCAGTACTTTTTATTGTGCTGCCCTGCCTGGCACCACATGGCTTATGAAAAGAAGACATTAGCCAGCTTCTCTTTCTACTGCACAGACGTCTCCAATTATTTCTATAAGTGAGCTGTACCCATTGTGGCCTCCAGCCGTCAAGGGGAGTATGACTCAACTGTTGGAATGAATGGAGCCATGGCGCATGCACAGTAGGAAGAAGAGCTTGTCAGGATGCTTTCTTTGCAAAGGCAGCGAAGATCACGGATATGGGGAGGACGATAACAATTTTACCAAGTGGGGCTGCATTCAAGGGGATGGGGTGTTACTCAAAGGAGAGCTTACCTAGATGTGAAGTTTTTGCAATAGATGCCAACACAAGGACATCTGAAAATGAATGGGTGTGAATGGGAGCAGTGCACACCAGTGCTTTGTGTTGCACTGCCCTCCACTGAAAAAAAAAAAAAAAAAGTAGAGCAGGCTGTTCATTTTTTCAGAGCAACACAACAGACTGGTGTTAACTGCTAAAGC